AAGAACAAATCACTCAATGCTGGGGATTTAGAAAAGAAGAGCAGGTGATTATGATCTTTCATGCAGAGCATCTGTTGTATAAATATTTAATTTCCATTGCATAATTTATAGGTGGATGGTTCAGCCATTTTGTTTACCATCATCTCCAAGAGAGCCTATTCTTTATGTGTATAACTAAATAGTCGATATATAATGGGAAAAAAGGCACGATGACATCAATTTAGCATATGTGAAGGCTTGATTACATTTTACAAATATATATGCTTGCTCAGTATCCAGCTATTTTAAAATAATTTGGCTTTGTCTCTCTATCTTATAGTGTCTTTTTGATCTCTGTTTTCCATTGTTCAAATGAAATGTATGAACTTGGTATGTATCTCATATGCACTAAAATTATGTATTTGAAACAAAATATGTTACATAGTCTTTATATGTCTTGCAGCCCCTTTCCAATATTATTATTATATAGAACAGGAGTAGGCAACCTTTGGCACTCCAGATGTTATGGACTACATCTCCCATAATGCTGGCAATGTATCAGGGAATACGTAGTCCACATATGAGTGCCGAAGGTTGTCTACTCCCAGTATAGAACTTCAAAGGTAAAGCTCTTCCTCAACATGCAACACAGGAAAAATAATATTAGAGGATTCTAGAACCACTCAGGGGGAATTAATTTCTTTAATGGACAATTTATTAGCTAGGGAAACTGCAATAATATGATTCCACTTGCCCATCTGAAAATATTGCTGGGGTCCAAAGAAGGCACAACTCGTGGCTTTCTGTCTTCCCTCATTCTGTGTGCAGTGAGTGCATATTTATGTTCGAGGGAACAGCAAATTGTTCCTATTATCAGTGTTATGGGATATTATCTCAAGCTGTGTGACCCACAAACAATCACTCCTGTAGATCAGGTTATCTGTATTGAGAGCATGCAGTAATTTTACTCAGCGCTTTAGAACCAGGGATGGATCCAAGAGGGTTGCACCACAGAAAGTTCTCCTACCAAGATGCTAGACAGGTACCCATGTGATACTCTTTACCTTATGCGGATTTATTTATTTGCTGCCAATAACATAGGGTACCGTCTCGGGTAGCTGGTCTGGTAATGTGCAAAGGTCCCAGTGATTTGCACTGAAATGATATGTGATTTCATATGACGAACAGTGTGAGCCACAGGGAGCTGTGTTCTTAACTTACCAAAGCATTGCTAGCTTTGATTGTCCCATGTTCCAAATGATAGAGGAATATGGCAGGAGAGGGCTTAGTCACTGAATGACAAAAAGACATCTACTTTTAATGCACAACACACCAATGACAGACTGAAGGCCACTGTGGCCTCATGGCCACCTACTATTTCCTTCCACAGACACTGCTCCCCTTCTGCATGGTATGACTCTAAATGGCCAACTAGCTCCCTACCTTAGGATGGGGAATGGTTGTACATAAAGGAGGGTTGGGGGACATGTATTATAAGTACCGATGTATGTGCTTGTATGTACATTAATAATATGTGTCTAGCACAATGTAATACTTGTTTATACTGTATAATAAGCAGTTATAAGTTATTTATATTTATTTTTTATTTATTTTTATTAAAATATTCTAATAATTGAGTACTCATATTTACCTAAGCTTGTGACAGGGAGAGGAAGTAGCATGGGGGACAATGTCCAGAGAAAGGATGAAAATTACATGGAAAGTGCAATTGATATAACGAAGGCTTTTGAAAAGTAATTAATTAAGGGTGAGTAGAGGTGACATGATGGAAAATGAGGCATAAAGGGGCAGTGACAGAAATATGGGGAAAGTGACTTTAGAAGATGACATGGGAAGGAGATATATGGTGACAAATGAATGAAGATGACAACTTTAACTGCCTCTATTTATATTAAAACCACACAATTACTTTCACAATGATGTGCCATATATACACCAACACTCTATACACACACACACACACCCTGCATTCACGTGCCCTTACAATCCACACAAGTACACCCATATATTCCTAGTCCAGTTTGTACCTTTAATTCTGGAACTCTGTTACAGACTCATGTGCAATTCATAATATAGCATTACAGAGACACACAGAAATATAACTAACAGCAACAATATATAGTGGAGTGTTATTTTTTATTTAATCTACTACACAGATGTTATTTTTCTATTTAATATGCTACATAGATATTAAATTATTCTACTGTGTCCCTCCAGAAATTGTTCTCTGAATATGCTCTGATTGTAATTTTATACATTTTTGAACGTAGCATAGCGCATACTAAATTTATTTTGTTTTATTTCTTTTTTTGGAGGTGGAGGTGGGTTTTCAGTGCATGTCTGACCAGGTAGCATTGAATATCAAAACAAATGCTAAAACATTTTGTTTGCCTTTTTTTTTAACAAATAACACATAAATTTGTCACTGCAATGATAATTTTGTGAATTTTACTAAATTTAATCGAATGATATAATTCTAGAAACAGACTGTCTATTAACCATAAACTATTAATCTCAGACTCTATTTCTTTAGTGATTTAATCAAATTGGTAAAAAAAAAATTAAAAAAAAATCAATGCCATTTTTGTATTTAATCATTGATAAGTTATGATTCCTTGGATGAAGAATGCTGAACAATAAATGATGTATTTTGTAATTTATTCATTTGATAATTTGTTTTCTTCTACCGAAAATGAAAAACATGGCTGAAATGCAAATTACTTTACTGGCTGTAAACTATTTAATTGGCTATGTATTTAGGTTACTGTTCCCAAAATCATCTTTTGCCTTAGCTTACCTTAATTATTACTTTTTTTTTAACATTTATATTTTATTGGATTTTATACTTAGGCAATGTTACCGCGATAATCCAGAAAGTAGAGCTCAAAAGATTTTAGGTTCCAACGCAGTGGATTTTCACATGCAATATGTGTTATACATTCACAGATGACATTGCCATGTTATAAAAGGGATACTTAAAATAGAAAAAAGTAAAATAAACAGAAGAAAAACAATTGCACATCCAATACAGTCTACAGCAAACCATTTGCGCACATGGTCATTGGGAAGAAATAGACATGTTGGTGAGTGGCACAGTAAGCGTGTAACATTTGTTAAGGTTCGACAACCTAGTTTGGCCCTAAGTATGTAGAGTCTCTCACGGGAAGTACAAACGTAATTTTTTTTAAATTATATTATCTAACTTTATTAATGTTCTAGTTTATAGTATTTTTTTTTCTCTGTCTTCTTTCTGTCATCATGGAATCGCATCTGATCTATAATCAAGCCATGGTTTCCATATTTCCTCTATTTTGCGCCTCTGTGTGACCGAAGACGCGCCCATTAATTCTAATGTGTAATTTAGGTTCAATCTGTCAATCAAGCTTCTGACGGATTGGGTCTTAGATTGTTTCCAATGTAGGGCTATGTGGTGGCGCGTTGCCAATGAAACATGCTTATATAAGGCCAGAAACTGGAATGGAATATTGTTGTCTGGCATGAATAGAAGATAATTTTCGGGTGTAAGGGGTACATTCATAATATGCATGGAAGTAAGTATTTTCTCTGACTCTAGCCAGAGTGGTTTAATACCTTTGCATGACAACCATATGTGTAACATGCTTCCTCATTCCTCCCCGCAGATGGGGTTGCTGGAAATATTTTGTTTAATCATGAGGGGGTCAAGTACCAATGGTAAACCAGTTTGCGATGGGCTTCTACATGGTGGTAGCATTGGGTGACCCTTTTCATCGCATTAAGGGATTGGGACCATTCCTCTATGGAGAACCGTGATCCACATTTAGACTCTAGTATTTTTAGTTAGTATTTTTGGTTTAATTGGATTTTTCCAACATGCCTCAGTGAATTGGGTAAATGGGAGGGAGGGAGTCTGTAGCAGTTGTGCCAATGTGACTAAGTGTGTTTGTAACAAGCTTATTAGTTGAATGTATTTAAATATAAAGTTGGAGGGGAGGGTGTAGGAAGACTGCAGGTCTGGGAAGGATCTCCCACTTCCATTAGTAAGAAGTTGGGAATTTGGGTCAAGCCTGTTTCCCCCCACCCTGGAGTGACAACCATGAGGTCACAGCGTTCAGAGACATCAAAGGAGCCGCTGGGAGGAAGTACTTCCCCACTTCCTGTGCCGTGAGCAAATTGTCCCACACATGGAACGTGATTAGTAGGATTTAGGTTAGGTGTCCGTTTCCTATATTTTCTAGGTGTCCACAGGGTTGATATCAGGGAGGGTTCTCACAGTCATCGTGCCTCCACATCCTCTCACCCCAGTGTTCCTTCAGATAGAGAACGATGTGGATAGGAATCCAGCATTTAGGACTTTGGCTGTTGGGGAGTTGTACACTGCCATGATACCTTGGATCACCATTGGGGGTATACCAAACTTCGGCAGCACTTTAGTCACGTAGCCCCAATGTAGTCTGTCGAAGACCTTCTCCGCATCAAGTACCAGGAGAAGACCTTCAGTGTTGGTTTCGTTGAGGTGTGAAAGTAGGCTAAGCAGTTTTCTGGTATTGTCCGAGCCCTGATGAGCTCGCACAAAGCCAGATTGATCATTGTGAATTAGTTTAGGCAGGAATGTCGATAGTCTGTTTGCTATGAGCTTGGAGAACAATTTTGTGTCGCAGTTTAAAAGGAAGATGGGGCGGAAATTAGCACAATGTATGGGAAGTTTACTTGGTTTCGCAGGTATTAAGATATGTGCTTGAAACATTTTGCTGGAAAGTGTATCTGTTGTGTAGGTGTGGTTAAACAAGGTAATGATATGAGGCGTGAGGGTAGTGGTAAAGGTCTGGTAATATAGATTTGTCAGTCCATCTGGGCCTGGGGATTTATGGGCCAGTAAGAAAACCTTAAGAAATTTCCTCAAATGTAAAAGGAGCAGTCAGTGTTTCTGCCAGTAAGAAAACCTTTAGAAATTTCCTCAATGGTAAAAGGATCAGTCAGTGTTTCTGCTTCCCGAGATGATAACTTTGGGAGGTTTACACTTTCTAGAAATTGATCGATGTGTTGGGTTAAGGGATGCTGGAGGTTTGGATCTCCAGAAAGGTTATATAGTGTGCTGTAGTAAGATGCAAACTCGTTCGCTATGTTTTGAGGGTCCAGTATTTTTTTCCCTTGCACGCTGTCATGCAGAAAGGCTATTTTAGCATTAGTGAGCCATTCTTTCAGTTTAGATGCCAGGGTAGCCCCTGCCCCATTACCTTGTGTAAAGTATTTTCCCTTCCTTCGTTTCAAAAGATAGGCTGATTTGGATAGTTCCATTTCCCTCAATTGGGACTGTAAAGTCAAGAGACAGGAATGGGTGTCTCGTGAAGGGTTGATTTTATTCTCATGGGTTGAGTGGGTAAGTTGTCGAATAATGTCGAGATAGGTCTGTGTCCTCACTTTTTTGGTGTGACTTGCATATTTAATAAGAAGACCTCTCATGAAGTCCTTATGGGCCAACCATATAGAGGCTAGTGATACGTCAGGGGTATTGTTTAACCGGAAATATTCTTCTAGTTCTTCCCTTAGTATTTCCACTATCTTAGGGTCTGAAAGGATGGATTTATTCAGTTTCCATGTGCCCATCACTTTACTCGTGTAAATGGATATGTTGATGGGGGCATGGATGTATGGATGTTTTGGTGATTTTTGGGATCAAGCTTTTATGTATGAGAAATCTGCCTATTCTAATATATGTGTGAGTGGAACTTATAATCTATTTCCATAGAGTAAAAACTCACCAGGGATCACAGAGATAATGAGAATTAAGAGTGTTTGATAATATTTCTGTTATTGAACTCCGTTTATGCAACGTTGTTATTTCCACTGAGTGTGAGGAGGATGCATCTTTATTAAGATCTAAAAGAAAATTGGTGTCACCTCCCACTATTATCTCTCCAAATTTGTGTTGGTTTATTAGGGCTAAGAGATTGAATAAAAATAGTGGTTGATTCTCGTGGGGTCCGCACACATTGACAAGTGTTTAGGGGACATTGTTAATATAGCATTGCAACAAAATATATCATCCCTCTTTATCACATTTTTTCTGGACTAGAGAGAATGCCACCTGTCTGCCTATCAATGTCGACACTAGGCTATGTATCTTGGCCCCCACGGCAGAACCAATAAGGCAGTCTCTAGCCGCCCCGAGTCTAACTTATTGCCCATCAATTACATTTGTTTTTGTTTTTGTTTTCTTTTTAATTTATAATTTTTTATTTTTTTTATTGTTTTTGTTTGTAACTTAGTATGAGTAAGATGCTCTCTCAGTAAGAAAGTGGGGAATATAAAAACAGTTATCCCCGAACATTTATGGCTACATCCCTGCCCACTAGCAAAGTACCTGTACCCTCGGCATAATGACTCTCTATCATATACATGATCAGTCAATTTGTTGCAGCAGCTTTTTGCCAGTCTGGTTGCACCTTACAAGGTGATTGTCACTTGCTGCTTTGTTTGGGAGCCTCTGATTCCACCTCCATGCTCCAAAGGCGGAGAAGTTTGCGTCAATCTACTGGTGTAGTGACAATTTTGTCTACTCCATTGCATTTTATAAGGAGCTTAACAGGGAAGCCCCATTTGTAAGGCACCCCTTCCTGTCTTAGAACCTGGGTAACTGGAGCAAAGGCTTTACCTTTTGACATGGTGTGGGCAGATAGATCAATAAACAGTTTAAGATCAGCATGACATCCTGAGAGGGCTCCCTCACGTCTGGAGGACTTCATAATATTTTCTTTTGTGGCAAAATAATGAACTTGAGTGATAACATCTCGCGGGATCGATGGTGGTAGGTGTTTGTGCTTGGCCAGATGATGTGTACGATCCAGAAGTAGGTCGTTATCTGAGGCACTCAGAAGCATATCCCTGAAGATCTGCTGGACATAAGCAGGTAATTCAGAGTGGCTGATGTTTTCCGGGATCCCCCATATTCTACTGTTGTGTCTGTGTTCGCGATACTCATGATTCGCCACCTTTTCCTCTAAGCCTTGGAGTTTGTGTTCCATGGCAGTGTCAGCGTCCGCCAGTGTATTGTGTGCCTCGAAGAGCTCCTCCGCTTTGTCCTCCAAGTGCGAGGTGCACTCTCCGATCACCTGGACTTCTGCCTTGATATCCCTTGCCAGCTGGTCAAAGTTGGCCTAAAGTGAGGTCTGCAGCTCTCCCAACATTTGTTTGACCGATTGGCCTGTTGCTGGTATCGGGAGTAGCATGAAAATTGAGCCCGCCATCGGGAAAGAGGGACTGCGGTCGCCATCTTGAGGCCTCTGTACCGCTGGTGAGTTAGAGGAAACCCAAAGATTTGTCCTTTTAGACTTCACTTTTTTGCTGCTTTAGATGTCATCCAGGCAAGAAGGTCCCCCACTCCGAGGGGCAACGTGTTTTGGGCTTAGTTGCTGTGGTAACATGCTTTGGGCACTCCGTCAGCCCTGGTGCCGTAAAACAGCATGTCTGTTCACATCTAGGCTTAGGCAACATCCCCTAAATTATTACTTTTAATGCTATCTCACTAGGAAAACTTTGCATTCTTACTCTCAAATTTCTTTGAGATTCATTGTTCTTAACATTTATTTATGTATTTTTTTTGTTTGCTTGCTTATTTACTTATTATCGGCATGGTTAAATAATAAATATGGGGAATACTGTGATTTGGCGTATCATATTATACTATGGCATAAAACAAGATGGTAATATATTACATTTGATAAAAACTATAAAAAACTGAATATTTCATTTTTGTTCTCCAACCCTTAGATCAAGTATGTTTACAAAGTAAGCAGCTATTAATAATTCTTCTATACTATCAGTAGAACATAGCATCTGGATCAGAATTGCCAGAGACGATGAGGTTTCCTTCAGACAGAGTAATAATGGGAGGAAACAGAACAGCAGGTTCCATGCTGTAATCCTTGCATTGAAAATTGAAAACGAACAACTTGAGAACATCAGCTCATGAATTTCTACATCACAGTATTGGAACATTGTGTTACAGCTAATGATACCAAAACACTGGGCTATCCAGAGAGTCCCGTGAAAAAGACACATCTTAAAAAAAAATGCAGGTTTTATTTCACAAGTAATAAATAAGATTTACACACGAGATGGGCAACTGCATTTGGATTGATGCTACACACATGAAATCCAGGAAAACTATGGATAAGACGAGTAGTAAAGGGTTAACACAATGCAATGCATATATAATACTAAAATCATGGCAAATAGTGAGTTAAATGGTTACCCCAAACACTATCACCACTATAGTAAGATAAGTCCAGCTCTGGTAGAGTTCTGAGCTGATAATGTTAAATCTGTTCCTAAACTCCATCTGTCATTAAAATATGTAGCATGCAGGCAGGTTCCCCTACCCCTGTGTCACCCTAAGCTGTCTCTAAATCCATATCCCTCTCTCAGCAGTTCTGAAAGGCGAATTGAGCTGCAGCGAAAAATTGCCTTAACATAGGATTGCAGTTAAATTTTGCATTGCATTCCCTTTTTTTTAGCTCTTCTTAATAAAACACAGTGTTTTGTGCTGGCATAACCCTTTAATAAAAAGTGATACGAAGAATATAAAATGACATGATAACCCCATGTCAACACTTAACAAGTCAGATTTTACTGGAAGTGGACTATAAAAATATATGTTGCTTTTGAATTTGGACACACAAATGTGTTGTTCAAGGAACACTATAGTGTATGAAATATAAACATGGATTCTGAATACTATGCTCTAGTACCAGTTTAGGTTTTTTTCCCTCTCAGATTGGATGTAAAAGGTATTTTAATTACCTTTTTTGCATTGCAGTGCTCGTCTTTCAGAGAAACTGCTATGTTTACATTGAGGGTTAATCCAGTCTCTAGTGGCTGTCTCCCTGACAGCCACTAGAGATGGTTCCGCGATGGTTTTATTGTATATTTATTGAATCTATTACAACATGTAGACAATGTGTAGCCTGTTGTAGAAAGCTCAAGTTCCATTTCCATAAAGCTTTAAACATTGTTATTCAGTTTGGTTCTTTTTAAATACATATTACTTCATGTTATCTGCTCTTTTTCAAATTTTCAATATGGCGCTTCTGACCTCCTGTGGGGAGCAATAAAGTTCAAGGACAATTGAATAATGGAAGCAGAGAATTTCTGGGTACCACAATCTACCACATATATCATCTCTGTCTTCCGGGAGAGGTGAAATACATCACGTCCGATCATGGACAATGAGGTCAGAGGGAGGGACTGGGAAACAATGAGTAAGGGCAAAATTCTCAATTGAACTCTCGTTTGCTACATAACATGATCATGGCAGCCAATTAGGCGCGACCATTTACACATGAACACCTGGACCTGGACTTTATTATTGCCAATTGAGAAAGATGTATCCAATGGGACACATTTGGCAATAACAGGACTGAATCACCAATATTTGTATAAGTGCATTTATTCATTGTTTTGTTGTTTTAATAGTTTTTAATGTTTGTTATTTTAAATAGTGTTACGATAAATACTTGCCTTTAGCACTTCTGGCTGCTCTATTGTACCAGGCTCCAGACCATTGTTTGGGAAGTGTCACCCCACAATCTGACAGTAAATATTTTTACCTTTGAACGAGAGATATATGGGGCTCTATAATAGGTGAGAGTTTTATATATCACCTGATTTTGCACATCTGTATATGGACATACACTATTATTTCTATCTATTTCTCTGTCTTTAGAGTGAACATTCTTCGAAGAAGGTGGAGTGCAGCCTAAAAAGCACATCTGTGCAATTATTGAGCCATACTATTTGGGCTCTAATTAATGTGAAAAGATAATAAAGTAGCGCTAGATAGCGAAATACAAATGCAGCACCTCTAAATAGGGGAAATTCTCTTCAACCCTCTTACCATAGAAAAATAAAAAAGGAAGGAAGGGTGCACCAAAGATAAGTTAAATATACAATAGAAACAGATAAAATTAAACAATAGAAACATATAAAAATGCAATATAAAATACTTTATAAAATACTTTTAAAAACACAATTGACAGTAAAAACAGGTACCCAAAGGGAAATTAGCAGCAGTTCCAAAAATTAAAAGTCTTGAGAATGAAAGAGGGTTCTTAATGGTATCGTCCTTCTTGGGCAAGTCTGTCACCAGAGATATTCAGGATTCATAAAAGGAAAAAATAAAAGAAAAACTCCAATGGTGTAATAAGTTCACAAAAAATTGTAAAAGAGTAAAAGAATTCCAATTTACTCACATGTCCTAGAGCTTTAGCCAGTTCTGGTGTATTGCGCATGCAGTGTTATTGATCCCCCACTTACAGGATATTTTGGAAGGTAAAGGTTGTTGTCACCGGATAAGTGCAAGTGGAGATTTTACCACCTTCGTGGTATTAACTGAGCAGAGTTTCCTGCTC